GTGTGTGTGTGTGTGTGTGTGTGTGTGTGTGTGTGTGTGTGTGTGTGTGTGTGTGTGTGTGTGTGAGAACTGGGGCAGGGGAGATGGATAGCAGAGACCATCACTCCTATTACACCCCAGACCCTGGGAGTAACATCATGTGAAGGACCAGGTCCGCAGCAGGCATAATTCACCACAATTATATTGGCCTAAACAGATCATCAATTTACACCATCTAAGACTCTAGCCCCGAGTGCCCAGAGCCTTCTCCCGCAGTAAAGCATCACTTGTCAGTGGGGAAGGGCCCAACGAACGAGGTCACTGAATCCCAGATCCACTCGGTCCATATACTAAGGTTCTAGCCGCCGGCACCCCAGTTCTGCAGGCTGGTCTCAGATCCAGCTGAGTAATTCACCGGGAATTGGCTCAGGCTCTAGGACTCTTACCGTGGCAACACGCGTTACGGCCACACTGAGAGGTCAGAGTCTAAGACTAGAGAGGTTGGCGCAGCCTGGCAGGACGATGCGCAGAGAAAACTTACTGGGCTGCTGCTCAGGCTGTACTTGTTCAGTGGCTAAACAGAGAAACTCTCGTCTCCCGGGCTGGGGTCCTGGCAACTTTTCCCAGCACCAGCTTCAGCTAGTGAGGCTCTACTCTGAAAAGTGTCCCTACAAATGGTCTTGTGAGAGGTCACGTTTGTTACACCTCAGTGACTCCATCAAGCACGCTCAGTTTGAGTATAGAGGTTTTCTTCCACTAGCCAGCACTAGGAACTCAAGCTGGGCTCGGAGTCATGCTGGGATCTTTCCTTCTCACATGGGACCACATGTTCTAAAGGTCCTGTAGGGAAAATCAGGTGCTTGGTGACACCTGTGCAGCCCCAGTGCTCTCAGGTTATGACTTCAGTAACACCTGAGCAAGGCCAGCGGTTTGCACAGGTGTAACTGACCGGAACCTTGTAAATGGTGCAATTGACGATGCCCCCAGAGGAATAGAATCCAGCTTGCTTGCTCTCAGCTGTGTTGGCTCTCAAGGACTAACAAGAGTCAAGAGCAGTAAAAAATAACCTTTTGCCCCTCAAATGAACAGTTCTGCCTCTGACACTCACAACAGGGAGTAGACCTGGTGAGTCGGCGGAGGCCTCTTTGTCCAGGATCACTTTTCAGAGTAGAACCTCGCTTCTAACAAAGCTCTGAGCAAATAAATATTTTCAAGAGTCAAGTTGGTGATTGTGGTGATATTTTATATGGTGAACAAAAAACCTTCTGGTCACATTAGTGGGAATCGGGAGCATTTTCTCAGTATTCTCTTCCCAAAATCATCTCATTTCAGGACAGATTGGAAAAAACAAAACAAAAAAATCCACGACTAAGTCAGAAAGCTCATTGCGTGGTACCCCCCGCCCCCTTTGGAGATTGAATTATAGGGGAGACATCCGCCGGTGACTTACCTCACTCGCTCTGGGTAAAAGAGGGACATGTTCCACACCACAACTCCGCCCCAGTCATGGCCGATGAACACTGCCTGGGAAATGCCCTAGGGGAGTACGGGAAACAAGGAAGGTGTCATTGCGAGTGTGTCAATGGGTTAGTGATTTTGGGGACCAAATGGGGTTTCCAGGGCAGAAGGAACTCAAGTTACTCTGGCTGGGAACACAGGAGGGTGACCCAGCACTTACCAGTGGGCACGAAGGGGCTTTGCGACAAGGAGACATATGGAAGCTCTCCACCAGCCAGAGCGAGAGCGGAATGCGGCTCAGTTTGCCAATGTGGCACCGTCTTTCTCCCCCCCTGCTTCCCCCACCCATTCAGAGGGCTCTGCGCCAGTCCAGGGGTCTTTCCCCGGGGAGGGGTGGGCCAGGGACTGCGGAACAGGCCAATGTCCATTGTTCCCCAGCCCTGGGAGGATGGGGAAAGAGACAGCCCGAGGAGGTGCATTTCCACAGCCCCGCCTCTGGGGCGGGGACGGACTAGCTGCAGAAGCCCTGACAGCACGGCTCCAGTTAAGCCACAAAGCTGCTTCGTCTCCTGGCCTCGCGGCAATCGTTGCTAGCAGAGAGTTCTTTGCTTGCACTTGGCTCCTAATCCAGCAGGCTGGGTAGCCCACCCCGAGTGAAAACCAGTCTACTAGCGACCTCGCAAACCCCTGGGCACGCGATCCAGCGTACCAGTCTGTTATCGCCCAGGACAAATTTCCATTCACAATGCCCCGCCGGGGGCCGAGCACAGGAACCAAAGCCAACCTCCCGCCAACCTACAAGCGGGCTGTCACGTGCAATTCAATGAGCTGCTGGCTGGCGTTTTGCTGGGCCTTTTACAGATGAATCAATTGCTCTCCTGCCTCCCGCTGGCTGGGAAGTTTAAGACCAAAGGCTGGATTCAAAGGGGACATGGAACGTGGTGTCAGCTGGAGGCTGGGATGCTCTCACTCCCTTAGCCCTCCGGACACTGCTGTACCAGTGTGTGATGGAGCCTCTAGTGATGGAACGTGCAAAGGAGCTGGGCGGAGGGGTTTCTTCCAGTAGCGCAGGGGCTGCTTTAACTCAAGCCTTCTTCCGCCTCCTGCTCGTTGCGTTCCTTGGGTCTCTCGGCACGTGACTTACAGGGATTAGCCTCCCTTACATTCACATCAGGCGGCCACGGTTGAAGCGGAGAGGTTAGCAGCAGGGTCAGTTACGTGTAGGCGAGTGGGTACAACTCCAAGGCAGGGCAAGAAAACGTGCAGCAGCCGAACGGATCAATTTAAGCAGGGCAAACCCTTAGCGTAACCACACTCGGACTCACTTAAACTGCTCTTAAGCTTAGTTCAGTCAGGCCTGGTCTATACACAGCGTTTCCCAGTCTAACTAGAGGTGTGAATTTAAACCAGTTTAGTTAAAGCAGTTCACAAGGGCACAGGGGCCTGAGAGGGGCTTATTACAGGTTAGCCTGAACAGATCCCGAACAGACTTAGGACAGGGCACTGGAATAAGTCGGGATATTATGGGTTCTAGTCCCAGCGCTGCTACTGGTCTGGGCAACTCGCTTCATAGAATATCAGGGTTGGAAGGGACCTCAGGAGGTATCTAGTCCAACCCCCTGCTCAAAGGAGGACCAATCACCAACTAAATCATCCTGCCCCGTGCCTCAGTTTCCCCTCTGTATAATGGGGACAGCGCTATTTGCCTTTCTTTGGAGAGCTGCAGGTGGACAGTGCTACAAGAGAGCTAAGCACTGCTGTTAGCCACCACCTCTTACAACAATGGCTTCGCAGTGAGGGCTCAGCTGCTGTCACTTGTCATGGGAGGCATGGCCTTGCCAGGCAGAAGGTCAGAGGGAAAGGGGACTTGGCTCCCAGGAGATGCCACTAAACCAACTGCAAAACAGCAGCATGACAGAGAGAAGAGGAAAGCAATTAGTTCCAGTTTTCATTGGCCAGGCCCTGCGTTACCTTGAAAGGACCACTGCCAGCTTTGAAGCAGCATCTGTTTCAACAAGATACAGCTCAATCCACGGCGTTCCCTGCTTAGATGTTATTTATTTGTGTGTCCTGATAGAGGCTGGGCCCAGCCAGAATCTCTCTCCTCCCTTGCACGTCCAGCCGTGCTGCAGTACCGAGCTTCTTCAGATGGCACAGAACCCCCCTGGGAGCTGAGCCCCCTTGCGGGGACAGGGTGGCACGTCTGGATTTCATAAATACGACTACTTTGCGTTTCACTGGCGCTCTCACAGCACTTACAAATGCAGGCACCATTATCCCCAGATGGGAAACTGAGGCAGAGAGGGGGGGAAGTGACTCACCCAAGGCCACAGTCACAGTGGCAGAGGTGGGAAGAGACCCAGGTGCATTAGCCATTGGACAACACTGCTCCTATTTCAAAGGGGACTGGATACCGAAATGAACCCAGGCCACTGTTTTGCCCACCTCATCTCTGCTAGTCTAAGGTACTGGCATGGCCCCGACTTCCATCGTACCTGAGCGCCTCACGATCTTCTATGTGTTTATCCTCACAACCCCCCTGTGAAGCAGGGCAGAGCCATTAGTACCGAGGGGAAACTGAGGCATGGAGGGACTAAGGCCCAGCGGCATTTAGGTGCTTCACTCCTACTGAAATCAATGGGAGTTGAGCCCAGATGCTCATAGGTATTTAGGCACCAAAACGACTTGCCCAAGGTCACACGCAGAGCCGGGACTTGATCCCAGGTCTCCCAAGTCTGTGCCTTAACCATCCGTCTTCATGTCTGCTGGGGCCCAGGGGCTGGTGTGACATGGACTGGTGGGACTCAGTCTAGTTCCCCGGAGAACAGGCACACCAAAAAGCACCAGCAGAAGTGGCACTTTACTAGCCGTCTCAGCTCTGGGTGGGTCGCGGACACAGACTTCCCCTCCCACCTCTAAGGGGGGGACCCTCACGTCAGGGGTGCAGGGAAGCTGCTGTTCTGTGTCTACTCAAGACCCTCAGCATGGCCCCCTTTAATCAGCTCCAGTGCTGGGTTAATCCCTCCAGCCAGGGAGGGCCACAGAGCGATCCGGCTACGGCTGGGCCCTGCCAGAGCCGCATCAGCGCCGTGCGTTCCAACCGGCCCGCCCGGAGCAGGTTTTGATTTAAAACTAGGCTCCTTGGCTAAGCACTTTTTCCCCAAGCTGTGCAACTGCTCAGGTGCCAGCTGCTGCTGCAGCAATAAAGAAAGATCAAGGGCCTGTCAGAAGGTTTTACGACCCGCAGCCCCCGCCGGGCCGGGAGGGTTTAATGAAAACGTATCGGGTTGGGGCAGCAGAAAGAAAAAAGCAAATCAATGAGCTACCCAGAGCTACTGAGCAGAGCTGCTCCCTATGGAACCGCTGGCTCACGGCAGCGGCCCGTGCGCCGCCCGCAAGGGGGATTGAACGGTGCTTAAACAGAGCAGCCATTTCAGACCCAGAAGAGCCATTGCAGATGGGCGCCCAGTCCCCATCGCACAGGGCAGGAGCCAGAGGGAAGGGGCAAGGGGAGCAGATTTCCAGTCCCTTCTGCGGGTTCTAGCCCCTCCCAGGCATGCTCGCTGCCTCGGGTTAGGTACATCCAGCAGAAATACGGCCACTCCGGCTGGGCCACGCTGGAGCCAGGCCGGGAAGGGCAGGAGGTTCGGGGAACCCGCTGGGTGCACGGCGTGGGCAGTGAGGACTGGAATAGAGGGGACTATATGCCTAGTGCTAGGTCTTCTCCCCTCCTGGCACAGCACTGGATCCACCTCTGGTGCAGAAATGGTACGTCCCGTTTGCCAGCACATGGCCCCAGTGCCACGAGGGGTACTTGACAGAGGGGTTACGCTGGCCAGCCACTGCACCTCCCCTTCCCCGCTGGAGCCCCCAAACACTCACATGGCTGCCAGCCCCGGGCCACCCAAGCACCCCCAGCCCCAGAGTGCCGGGCAGCACAGCCCGAGAACCAGGCCCAGCCGCCCTGAGTCCCGGGCCACAGGCCTGCCCTAGTCCCAGCCCAGCCCAAACCACAGGGGGAGAGCGAGAAGCAGGAGGGGTCTCTGGGCGGAGCGTGAGTGGAGCCATGCCCAGCTGTTTGGGGAGGCCGAGCCTCCCCTGGCCTATGATACCTGCTGCCCATGGGGGTGGCCCCAGACTGGACCCAATAGGGGTATGTGGACTAAGGGCCAGGGCTAGGATGGGGTAGAGCTGGGGCTGGGGGCATTGACAGAGCTGGGGCTGGGGAGCCTGGAGCTGGAAAATGCCACAGATCAGGCTTGATCGTTGCCCTTCTTTGCACCTTTTCCAATTCTAATAGATCTTTTTTGAGTCACATTTACCTCAAACGTCAGGGTCCTCCTTGATTCACTCAGCAAACTCCCCCCACAAGCTGACAGGTGTGTAAAACATAGGCTAGAACTGCAGAATCCAGCCACATCCGTGCTTGCATTCATGAATGGGATATTAAACAATTTGGTTTAATGCTTCTCCCAAGGGCAATGCAACCTGATAGCCAGCCTCACTCCTAGGACCAGCCACATCTTCCCACAGCTCTGCCCCCGTGTCAGATTTAGGTCTGATGAGAACACCGGGCTCGTCAATATCGGACTTAAATCCAACCAGCCTGCAATGCACACAGAGCTGCAGGGAGATTTATTCCACCTCGTCACAAAAATCTGATTGCTCCCCATACAGCCAAAGGGATTGGGCAGCTCGGAAGTCTAGGTAGCAGTCACCGAGGAACAGCCCAATAGACTGGCACCTCCTCGCGGGGAGTCTGGGAAATCAGGAGCAGATATTGATGTACCTGGACTTGCACTTTGAAAAGCCCACGAATATCGGTTCTGCTCTCGCTGCACCTTTGTGAGCGGATGACTAAGAGCAAGCCCGTGGCTTACTTCCGCTGCCTGTTTTCGCCAAAGCAGGTTCCCCACTGATATATGGTTAGATCTGCGGGAAGATGGGGGTGGGAGGGTGTAATGGAGGAGAAGAGGATGGTCAAGTGCAAAGGCACTTGCCTGGAACTCAGGAGATGTAGTCAGTTCCTGGCTCTAGCCAGAGCTCTCCCCATTCCCATACGATCTCCCAACAGAGTCCTGCACTTAGGATGGAAGAATCCCATGCACCGCTACAGGCTGGGGACCGACTGGCTAAGTGGCAGTTCTGCAGAAAAGGACCTGTGGATTACAGTGGACAAGAAGCTGGCTATGAGTCAGCAGTGTGCTCTTGTTGCCAAGAAGACTAACGGCATATTGGGCTGCATTAGTAGGAGCATTGCCAGCAGATCAAGGGAAG